AGACAGACAGAGAGAGAGAGAGGCTAGCAAATAAAAGAAACCATGTATATAACCAACACTAAACGACATTTACCGAAGACTCTCAACGCATTTCACTTTCCCTCACTTCCCATCCCCATGAAGAGTAAAACAAACTAATTTCTCTTTCAAGTTCAACAATAACCATCGACATTTTTCCTCTGCATCTCCATCTCAGGTGTCAAAGGGCGTGACCTCTCTTTGCAATGACGAATTTGAGTAAAACACCTTAACAGCTTTTTTTTATTATTATTATCTCTCTATCTCCATCTCTTTCCCTTTTTTTTACACCTTGATAGATCATTGTCATGTGCTACTCTCCGCATACGTTAATTTTCTTGTTTATTACAGTCATAATGCGCGCCATCAGCTAAAATCGCCCGAGGGGGGAGGGGGGAGGGGTATCCCGCGTGACATAATCACAGATTCTGTCTTGCAGTTTCCTTCCATCGCTTCAGGCATCTTTTGCTTTTTTGTCTCGTGATGGCCCCCTTTTTTCGCTTATAAATCTCTTTATAATCGTAGGTAGTTGTTATCCTATTAAAGGTGAGATGTTAAGCGCTTCCTCTATTGTAGCGTTGGGGGAATCCGCTTGCCGTGTGTTTTTTGTTTCAAGTTGACGCGCTTTGGGATTAGAAAGACAGTTAACTTTTCAAGTGAATATAGTTAAAAATGATTTGTCATGAAACAGATAAACAATATCTTATTGGAGTTTTATCAACACATACGATTAATGACAATGTCAAAAAGCGAGTGTGCCAATATACTGGTACTATATATTTTTTCACGTTTATTCTAAACAGATTAGATTACTTATTTACATTTTAAAAATCTGCCTTAATCATTTTTTTCCTTGGTTAAACTATCACAGAAAATCTTTACTTTCTTCAAGACAAATGCATGTCCAAGTCATACTTATAGATAGAACTGCCTGAACAATGACACAAAGCAAACATTTAAATGTCAAAGTCGATTTTGAAAATTTCCTCTTCGCAATATCCTGATGACATAATGTTTTATAAAAAATATTTCCAAAATGTTTTTGTGTGTGTGTGTTACAGCAGGTAGAGACACATCAAAGGCGATAAAGAATAGATTACAGAGCATGTGTGAAATTATCCGAAAAGGCCAAGGATACATAGTCGTGAATCTCCACACCTCAATTCCCAGTGAAGGAGGAATTTTCTCGGTTGTGAAACTACCAAAAAAAACGGAAATGTGACGTTTGTCAAAAACCGTTAGAACAGCCTGGTCGTTGTTTTTTCACGCTCGATGTATCAATATGTCTCGAGGGCGCACGCATACGCAGACATACACAGACATATACGCATACACAGATATATGCAGACTCGAGGACAGTAAATACTCATCTAAATTCTCACACAAATTCTCACACAAAAAGACAACACGCAGCTACACATTCAAAAAACACTCGTAAACTAACACGCACATACAAAAACCCAAACCACATACAAAAACACACACATATACCAAGGCAAACAAAAATACACACACACACACACACACACGTCCCTAATCAGGTCTGCCATAACACAAATGTGTGTTACATACTATTTTACTGTTCCCAAAGCTTTCGGTAAATCCCCGCCAGTCATCCTTAGCAGCCAAGGGCGACGGTCGGAAACGCCTCAGCCACAAGCCCTCAGGAACGTCTTGGTAGTTCTTACTGAAAAGTTAAAATGGGGCGCTTTTCACTTGTTATGAAAGATGACTTGGCGGGAAGAATGAAGAATGATAGGGGCACAACAAAACTACATGTGTGTTTACATATATGTATACACATGAATAAAAATACAACATTGTAACCTGCACGCTCATAAAATTAAATGAAGTCGTAATAAAACGGGGTAAAATATACACACACACACACTTACACACATATATGTGTGTGTGTGTGTGTGTGTATATATATATATATATATATATATATATATATATATATATATATATATATATATGTTTATTTATTTATGATAATAATAATGAAGGTAAAACGTATCTTTATTACATAACATGTTAATTAGATTTCTCTATTTGTCCCATTTACAGTCAATATCGCCTGAAGGATAAAGATAAAGAGAGAGAGGGAAAAAGAGAGAGAGATAACAGGCAAACAGTCAGACAAAAGTAGATAGACAAAGGGAAACGGAGACCGACAGGGAGGGAAAGGGGAGTGGCTGGCTGGTAGAAAGAAGAGAGAAAGAGACAAACAAAAACAGAGACCGTCGAAAGCAGCAATAAAGTAGAGACAAGGAAGAAAAATAGAATGAAAAAAATACACGTTAAGGAATGAACAAAAAAATCGGTTAGATATTTTTCATTTCTCTTTAAGTGATTGACGTTGATGATAATGACTTTAAGGGGAGATGGTCAACTACCTGATAATACTTGTGATTATGAATACTACAATGATAACTTTTACATTCCAAAAAATATAAATATAAACTGAATGAGAAGGAAAAAAATTCTAAACGTTATATAAACATACACCAATCCCTCTTTTTACCCAGTGATTTATTCTTGTGCCCACCTTGAAAGACGTGACATAAATCCTCAGCCTTGCATGCAACACGTGCCTATAGTTTGCAACATGCAGAAGAGGTAGTGCAGCTGCAAGTCGCCATTAAAATTCTTGGAAAGGACTCTCCCCTTGTTGCAAGATCGAGATGTCGTGTTTATATTTATCTGTCCTGTTTGGCGTAACATTATGCATTATTATCTTTTTGAAGGGGTTGCCACGGTAGAGGAATAACGAGAGCTTGTCATACGAGAAACTGAGGCTGTCGTGTATGTTAGGGAAGTAGAGATGACAAGTATTTTTAATGGGGTATCCACTGTACTCTTTGTCGTGATTGTGTTGTGTGTGTGTGTGTGTGTGTGTGTGTTTGTGTGTGTGTGTGTGTGTGTGTATGTGTGTGCGTGTGTGTGTGTCGTATTACCGGTGTTATTTCGAGATGGGAGAGTTTTTAGTGCAATATGAATTATGTGACTGATAATCGACATTATCACACTAAACCATCTGCGCATCGTTTTCAATGCCAGAAGCTTCTTCAACAGCTGTCAAAGTATAAATCTGAGATTTGACGTTTCAGTTAGTTGTAAAATCAACATGATATATCGATGATTAAGCGGGGATTTTTGGTTGCCTGAAATGACCAGAATTATATACACTAAACCACAAGCGCAAATGCACGAAGTCCAAGAAAAGGACAAGAGCGATCCCAGGCCAGCGGCAGAGAGTCTCCAACCATCAACGGTTTCCTCGACCAGTAAAGCCAAGAGAGCTGACTGAATTCCTGCTTCTCCGACAACCCAATGGCCGGCTTCAGACGCATCGGTTTTTCGCTGTCCGTTGTACAGGATATGGAGCCGTGCTTTAAAGAATTAAGTATTGGCATTCACGAGCGCTTCCAAACTTGTCGGACAGGTAAAACCCGTTCACGGTCGTCGTCGCCATGATGATACCCTTTTCCTTCTTTCTCTCTCCGTTCCTCTTTCTTTGCCTCACTCTTGTTCGATCATTCTCGTGTAGTCCCTTGTTCACCTGCTCTTTTCCCTTCCCTCTCTCTCTCTATCTCTCTTTCTCATTATTCCTCTCGTTCTTTATCGCACGTTTATGGGTGAGTGTTTATACTATACGCTCAAAAGCGCTTTATCCCATGTCGAGATCAAAACAAGGATCTGGAAACCCTTTCAGCTTCCACTCCTCGAGCATCAGCTGTCTCCCAAGCAGTAACGGATCCAGGCTTTCCAATGGAGAAGGCGGACGCAAGGAAAGCCTTAGGATGTACCGCGACCATGGCTACGCTCCCTCAATCCCCCGTAAGCTGGTCATGTGCTCTGTCTGTGATATTTTTCAGGGGGATTCCTTTGCTGAATGTCAACCTCTCTTTATTTTACATTTTTCCCCTCTCCCTGTTTACCCTCGCTGGTTCCCCCATAGAAAATATATATGTTAGAGTAATTTGAAGTAAGAATGAATGAGATTTTTTAAAAATATTCGTTCGATCATGGTCGCATCATCATGGCAATCACAAAATTGCTTGCTAAAGTCATTCAAAACACCGCAATATTTGTCAGTCACAAGATTTCCTTTGCTTGTGTTGGGTGAATAACAAGATTATTTTCTTTCACTTCTTTTACTTCAGCGTTTATAAACGAATTCCCACAGAAACACATTTTCTACATTTTTCCATGATTAAGTTTGTGAAAAGTTTGTGTGTAAAATAGTGGTGCTTATAAAAACACTTACTATTTTTTTTATCCTTTGTGTAATATCAGTAATTTGCAAGATCACAATAAGAAGATTATAAGTTTGCGTGTGTGTGTGTGTGTGTGTGTGTGTGTGTGTGTGTGTGTGTGTGTGTGTGTGTGTGTGTGTGTGTGTGTGTGTGTGTGTGTGTGTGTGTGTGTGTGTGTGTACTTGTGAATTTGTATGTGTGTGAATACGTGTATGTGTGCCTATGTGTTTTCTGTGCGTATGTATACCTTCATAAATCTGTCTGTGTATATATATGTGGTCATATACCTTTACAAACTCTATCTACCACTGTTTTCATCTGAAAATAAAACACGTCCGTAAAAGATACAAAATCTAATAAAATTTTGGTTTATACTTGCGATACCTAATCAAATCAGTCCTTGTTGATAAAGAACAAATCGAATACAAAATACAACATTTCCTTCGATAACTTCTTCGGGAAAGTAAGATAACATTTACCGTAGCAAGAGCATGTTATACCACTAAGACTCTTTATGCTTATCAAAGTTCCTTATTATTAGATATGACCCTTTAGGCACCTTTAGATATGAGCTTATCATCAAATACTACGTTATAACATTGCCTTTGGATTAGTCGCTATTGTAAAATTGGAGTACGTTATTTTAAATGACAAAAAACAAGAAAAAAAAATAAAGTCTTTGTTATCGAGTGAGATTGTTGTAAGAACATAACATTAGGATCAAATACTGATCAGGCTTTCATCGCTGTCAAATATCTCTTCCTCATCGTTGTAAAATATGGTGTCGTCATCATTAATAAAGTTGATTGTTTCTTCGTAAATTACAAGAGCAGAATCTTCGTCCCTTTCGGAATCGGTTTCTTCGTCCTTTTCGGAAACGGTTTCTTCGTCATTTTCGAAAACGGTTTCATCGTCACTTTCGGAATCGGATTCCTCGTCACTTTCAGTATCGGTTTCTTCGTCACTTTCAGAATCGGATTCCTCGTCACTTTCGAAATCGGTTTCTTCATCACTTTCAGAATCGGATTCCCCGTCACTTTCGAAATCGGTTTCTTCATCACTTTCAGAATCGGATTCCTCGTCACTTTCGAAATCGGTTTCTTCATCACTTTCAGTATCGGTTTCTTCATCACTTTCAGAATCGGATTCCTCGTCACTTTCGAAATCGGTTTCTTCATCACTTTCAGTATCGGTTTCTCCGTCACTTTCAGAATCGGATTCCTCGTCTCTTGCAGTTTCAGAATCCTTGTCACTGCTTTCAGACCCCACGCCCTTTACCGCTTCCGTTCCTCTGTCAAAATCACCGACCGATTCTATCTTACTTTCCTTCTCGTATCGGCAGAACCCATCATCATCAGTTTCTTTGCGAATTCCTTTGTTCGCTTCGTTGCTCCTTTCCTCGTCGATTTGTTCGTCCCTCGAAACACCAGCTTCGTTGCCCGTTTCGTCGTCGGTTTTGCTTCGATCTTCAGTATAGCTTCCGTCGTTTCTTTCTTCTCGTCCAGCGATAGGAACGTCACATTGCTCGCCACAGCAGCAGGCGAGAGAACTGTTCAAGGACCTCAGGAGACCGTCTACAATGAACAGAAATATTTGTAGCCCCTGTTCAACCGGTGACCCATGTCTGTAGGTGAAGAAATGGCAGGAGAGGTGAGTTTAATATCAAATCGCATGGACTATATGTATGTATGTATACACAATCAGACACATACATAGGCTTATATATGTATGCGTCTGTGCATGAGTAAAATGTGTGTGTGTGTGTGTGTGTGTGTGTGTGTGTGTGTGTGTGTGTGTGTGCGTGTGTGCATGTGTGTGAGTGTGTGTGTGTGCATGCGTGCGTGGGTTTTGGTGTGCCTGTTCGTGTGCGGGTGCGTGTGCGTGTGTATGTCTGTGTGCATATAGATAAATAGACAATAGATAGATGGATGGATAAATAGATAGAAATGTAGATGGATTAATACATATATAGATATAGATATACTAATAAGTAGATTACAAACATTTAGGTATGTATCTATAAGTATATAGGCCTACATTTATAGGCCTATATAAGTGTATATGTGTGTATCTGTGAATGTGCATGTGTGTGTATGTGTGCGCGTGTGTGTGTGTGTGTGTGTATAGATAGATAGATAAATAAATAGATATAGATAGACTGATGGATGGATGGATAGAGACATGGATTGATATAGATATAGTTAGATAGATAGGTATAGAATTAGAGATGAAAACAATAATGATAATAATCACACTGCTACTACTATTGATAATGATGATGATATTGATAATAATAACATTGATAATAAGGACAATGCTAATGGTAATGATAATAATGATGATGATCCTAATGACAACTTTGATAATAATAATGATACAAAAACGATGATAATGATAAATGATAATAATGAAAATAATAATAAAAATTACAACAACAACAAAACAACAACAATAATAATAATTATTATTATCATTATTATTATTATTATCATTATTATTATTATATTAATAGTAATGATAATAATAGAACAACAAAAACAATGATGATAATCAAACACATGAAAATTACCGTAACATTAGATGAAACAAAATGAATTAAATACTTGATTTTAGAATCAAACAAATATAAAAGAATTCAACAAAAGTCAGTAAATTTATTACTGATTACACACAAAAGTAGCTCTTTTTTTAATAACATTTTATTCGCTTTAAGTGGCGAGATTAGGTCAGATTACACTGACTCTAACTAGCAAATTATGCAAGTGAACTAGATTATACTAAGGGCTAATGCGTCAGTTCCTTTAGGCTACTGCGTCCTTAATCTCAACAGCTAAAATATAAATTTATCTATGCAGTGAGAGAGAAAGAGAGAGAGAGAGAGAGAAACACAAATACAGTAACAAGAATGAAACGTAACAGTAAAGATACTAAACTTTTTTTCTCTCTGATATTTATCATTTATTCGACATCCCCTTCTCATTTCCCACACACAAAACATGTATTATATAATCATAAATTAATATTCAACAATGTTTGCCAAATATTACCTTAACATGACTCGGATATTTGACGCTAAATAACGCTCGCACCGAGATATCGCAGGAACCGAAAACGGGAGGCTCTTGTTTCCCGCCAAAAACCACTACTTTTGAACATTTTGCAACTCTCGCTTCACAGATAATTTGATTTCCTTATTTCCATTCTTTTTAACAACACATGTTCATCTATTTTAATTACATAAAGTATAAATTATCTGTAAGATATATAAAATTTCATCGTACTTCTTTTGGGGTTTGTAGTGTGTGTGTTTGTGTGTGTGTGTGTGTGTGCATGCGTGCGTGCGTGTGCGTGTGCCTGTTCGTGTTCGTGTGCGGGTGCGTGTGTATGTCTGTGTGCATATAGATAAATAGACAATAGATAGATGGATGGATAAATAGATAGAAATGTAGATGGATTAATACATATATAGATATAGATATACTAATAACTTGATTACAAACATTTAGGCATGTATCTATAAGCATATAGGCCTATTTAAGTGTATGCGTGTGTGTCTGTGTGAATGTGCATGTGTGTGTGTACATGTGTGTGTGCGTGTGTGTGTGTGAGTGTGTATAGATAGATAGATAAATTGATAGATATAGATAGACTGATGGATGGATGGATAGAGACATGGATTGATATAGATATAGTTAGATAGATAGGTATAGAGCTAGAGATGAAAACAACAATTGAAAATAATGATAATAATCACACTGCTACTACTAATGATAATGATGATAATTATAACAATAACAGTGATAATAAGGATAATGCCAATGGTAGTGATAATAATAATAATGTTCATAATGACAACTTTGATAATAATAATGATACAAAAATTATAATGACAATAATAATAATCATGAAAATTACAACAAAATAATAATAATAATGATAATAATAATAGTAATGATAATAATAAAACAACAAAAACAATGGTGATAAACAAACACATGAAAACTACCGTTATATTTATTTTTTTATGACTGTGGGAAACAAAAACAAATGAGATGAAACAAAATGAATTAAATACTTGATTTTAGAATCAAACAAATATAAAAGAATTCAACAAAAATCAGTAAATTTATTACTGATTACACACAAAAGTAGCTTTTTTTTAATAACATTTTATTCGCTTTAAGTGGCGAGATTAGGTCAGATTACACTGACTCTAACTAGCAAATTATGCAAGTGAACTAGATTATACTAAGGGCTAATGCGTCAGTTCCTTTAGGCTACTGCGTCCTTAATCTCAACAGCTAAAATGTCAATTTATCTATGCAGTGAGAGAGAGAGAGAGAGAGAGAGAAACACAAATACAGTAACAAGAATGAAACGTAACAGTAAAGATACTAAACTTTTTTTCTCTCTGATATTTATCATTTATTCGACATCCCCTTCTCATTTCCCACACACAAAACATGTATTATATAATCATAAATTAATATTCAACAATGTTTGCCAAATATTACCTTAACATGACTCGGATATTTGACGCTAAATAACGCTCGCACCGAGATATCGCAGGAACCGAAAACGGGAGGCTCTTGTTTCCCGCCAAAAAACACTACTTTTGAACATTTTGCAACTCTCGCTTCACAGATAATTTGATTTCCTTATTTCCATTCTTTTTAACAACACATGTTCATCTATTTTAATTACATAAAGTATAAATTATCTGTAAGATATATAAAATTTCATCGTACTTCTTTTGGGGTTTGTAGCGTGTTTGTGTGTGTGTGTGTGTGCATGCGTGAGTTTGCGTGTGCCTGTTCGTGTTCGTGTGCGGGTGCGTGTGTATGTCTGTGTGCATATAGATAAATAGACAATAGATAGATGGATGGATAAATAGATAGAAATGTAGATGGATTAATACATATATAGATATAGATATACTAATAAGTTGATTACAAACATTTAGGCATGTATCTATAAGCATATAGGCCTATTTAAGTGTATGCGTGTGTGTCTGTGTGAATGTGCATGTGTGTGTACATGTGTGTGTGCGTGTGTGTGTGTGAGTGTGTATAGATAGATAGATAAATTGATAGATATAGATAGACTGATGGATGGATGGATAGAGACATGGATTGATATAGATATAGTTAGATAGATAGGTATAGAGCTAGAGATGAAAACAACAATTGAAAATATTGATAATAATCACACTAGCAAATTATGCAAGTGAACTAGATTATACTAAGGGCTAATGCGTCAGTTCCTCTAGACTACTGCGTCCTTAATCTCAACAGCTAAAATGTCAATTTATCTATGCAGTGAGAGAGAGAGAGAGAGAGAGAAACACAAATACAGTAACAAGAATGAAACGTAACAGTAAAGATACTAAACTTTTTTTTCTCTCTGATATTTATCATTTATTCGACATCCCCTTCTCATTTCCCACACACAAAACATGTATTATATAATCATAAATTAATATTCAACAATGTTTGCCAAATATTACCTTAACATGACTCGGATATTTGACGCTAAATAACGCTCGCACCGAAGATATCGCAGGAACCGAAAACGGGAGGCTCTTGTTTCCCGCCAAAAAACACTACTTTTGAACATTTTGCAACTCTCGCTTCACAGATAATTTGATTTCCTTATTTCCATTCTTTTTAACAACACGTGTTCATCTATTTTAAATACATAAAGTATATTAATAATGTAAAATTATAATCTGTAAGATATATAAAAGTTCATCTTACTTCTT